CATCTCTCACCAATTCTTGGGCTACTTTAGACTGATTGAAGAGTTGGATTTGCCCTACAGCATCTCTCACCAACTCTTGGGCTACTTTAGACTTATTGAAGAGTAGGATTTGCCCTAAAGCATCTCTCACCAATTCTTGGGCTACTTTAGACTGATTGAAGAGTTGGATTTGCCCTACAGCATCTCTCACCAACTCTTGGGCTACTTTAGACTGATTGAAGAGTTGGATTTGCCCTACACTATTATAGTGCAGCATCAATGACTCCAAAGAACAGACAACTTCTTTGAGGTAGTGGGATGAGAACCATGAATCTTTGGACTTACAGTCTGGGTATGTAATTCAGAGTTGTTATACCCAGAACTTGATGTGTTAAAACATTTTTCAAACATGAAATATTTGTAATCATACAACATAATTCAAGAATTATTTATAACTTTATAAATTTTATCTTATTTTACTTAAGTACAATTGCTTAGCAGTAACTGCTTTGAATAATAAATTGTTAAACATAAATTATATACTTGAAAACCGTTAACATTTTTAATTACCGTATAAAAAATCCTTTATTAATAGACTCGTAACAAAGTAAATGCTAGTAACCAAACAAATTGCAAAAACAATCGATTAGAGTACTTTTATTTAACAAAACATTGAAAAATGAGTTAATAATGAAGAGCTAAATTAAAAAAAAATTATGAAGTTCAGAATATTGTGTTAAAATATCAGGTTAAAGAAAAAAATATTTGAGTCAGATAGTCATAGTGTTCTTTGATTTAATAAACAGCTGTTTAATATTTCTGTTTGTTTGTTTTGAATTTTGCGCAAAGCTACACGAGGGCTATCTGCGCTAGCCGTCCCTAATTTAGCAGTGTAAGACTAGAGGGAAGGCAGCTAGTCATCACCACCCACCGCCAACTCTTGGGCTACTCTTTTACCAACGAATAGTGGGATTGACCATCACATTATAACGCCCTCACGGCTGAAAGGGCGAGCATGTTTGGTGAGACGGGGATTCGAACCCGCGACCCGCAGATTGCGAGTTGAGCTCCCTAACCACCTGGCTGTGCCGGGCCAATATTTAGATCAACAAAGGAAAAGTTTTATTTGTATCTCAGAATTGTGTTTTGCTTTGTACTGTCAAGTAAACACACAAACATCAATGAGGAATAAATTTATTTAAAATAACTTTTAACAACAGTCCAACCCAAATAACACCTTATCTTGGACTACAGTGATCAAATCGCTTAAGGCTTTTGTGAAGCTTTCAGAAAATAGAAACTTTGCTAAGTAAAGTAAATAAATTTTATTAGTATTATTATTTAATATAATTTAAAAAAATTAAAGTACAACTCTAAATAAATACAGGTACGGAAAACCGGCAATAATTATTTCTTACCTATTAAATATTAGATGAAAACCTTTCCAGAAAAACTACTTTTAACTTCACGTTATACACGTTTTCACTACCTAACGACACAGCGCACAAGTTTAAACAATATTCATTATAAATACTTTCAGTTAAATATATATATTATAAAAATGCAAATGTTTAACAATACACAGAGTAAGAAGACAGAGAGAGCACATACACACACACACACACAGGCACATACGTGTGTATGGTAGTACTTAATCGCTTCTTTTTGAAGTCAATACTTAAACTGTTATGCTTCAATGAAGGCCAGTTCTAACAACATCTTTGTAAAATTACATGCAAACATTTTAAGATAAAATATATATATTATATTAATAAACAGATGCTTTATACACTGTCCAACAGTGTGAGAGTTAAAGTATCAATACTGGAGTATTTGTATAAAAATTTGTTTATTTTTCGTGTGAAGATAGCACAAAAACTCTCTGAGAATATCATGTTTCTCACGTTAAGATGTTACTTTGTTCAACATAAAATTTCTAAATTTAATGATACTCGCCTCTCAGACTTAAAAAATATATTAATAATCAAATTAAACCCTAGAAATGTTGTATGATTAGGCAGATATAGTGGCTTAGTTCTGATTTATTAGTCATTATTTAGCTCACTATCCATTTTCTAACAATGTCGAAAATGTTCAAAGTACGTAACGTAAATAAGATCTGATCAAAATAACACTACCTGTATATGGGGCAGCTACTGAACAAAAATTCTAAGACCAAAATAATAACTAAACTAAAACAAATAAATTATTGTGACTTAAATAAAAAGAGATTTGCTTAATACATTAGTTGTAAAAAACTCACTATCATATTAGAAACCATCAATCATTTAAACTTAAATATTATTTTGAACATTACAGTTTCTGACAAACAAGACTGCCAAGTTTTATTCAATCGATAGAAAGCTTCTCACATATATATATTAGCTAATGCATATTTCTAGGATTATAGTGACTTCACAGACAAGGCAAAACAAATTATTTCTGGAAAAGTAAGCGAGTAAATTCCACATAATCATACGCTCCAGTTATGGTGCGGCCGCTCTTAGGTTCCACGTACGGTTTCATGTGGGACACGCAGTAATCGGCCATTTGAACAGTGAGGTTCTAAGTAACATAAAATAATTGAAATAAGAAAAAAACAGAATAACGTTTTTCAAAGTATCTGTATAAAATCATATCTCATTTTTTGTAGAGACAAAAAAGTCAAAACTGAGAACATCATACTTCAAACTTTTTTATTTTAAACTTGGAAGTCATGCAGATAATACTGATATTTGTTGGAAGTTACCAGCAAAACCCCAAGTTGGCCAGAATCAACCTTGAATATGATTATTACATAAAAGAGTATTTTAATGTATCTTTTCTGCTAATTTAAGAAGGACTTGAACATTGAAACTCATCTCAGTTTGTTATTCTTCAAAATTAGAGAAAAACAGTTCAGATTTTGAAACCGAGCTTCTTCAGAAAGCACATGAAAATCTAGTACCATGTGAATAAGTGTACAAACCTTTTAATATTCTTCAAAATAAGATATTGAGTCTTACAAAGAAAGTACAAAAATTACAAATAGTATAATCAATCTCAAATCTCTTTATTTTTTATCTATTTATGAAATGCATAGTCTCAGTAAACACGACCAGCTAGATTTAATACCAGCTTACTGCTTTTGTAAGAGTTTGATAAGATAATTCTTACCGCATACAAGTCATCAGCTGTGACATATGGACGGTCACCGGACGTGATTGCTCGGAAGGCATTTTCAATATCTTCGCTAGATCGCACATTTTCGGTTTCACGAGATATCATGAAGGCCATGTACTCTTGCAAGGACACAAATCCATCCCTGTTTGGATCAACAACATTAAGGATAGCTTCAAACTCTGGATCAGGTTGTCCTTCATCCACCATTGGGAGATCGTAACCCAGAGCTCGCAGACAACTCTTGAACTGATAATGGTTCAATTTTCCAATCTTTTCTCTGTCAAAGTGTCTGCAACAAAACAAAAAACTTTTCCTGTGGCTTATTTATTGAATACTATTGTTAAGCTTATCATATTCAAATAACATATACAAATTAACGAACTTGCATTTATTGAAAATAAACTATATTTATCAGACATAAATTGATCTCGATCAAGAATTCTCTTGGCAAAAATCATGATACCTGATAAAGGCAGTTGCGACATTATTTTGAAATGTCCTAAGTCAAGGATAACTCTCTGTCAGTTTTTGCTATTTTTTATCATTTATAGCCAGAAATAGTGACACAGTCAGTTGACAAAATAAAGTATGTAAAGAAATATCTTTATACATATTCAATTTAAAACTGACTGGATGTATAAAATGGAACTTTCTGATCAATAATAAAAAAAATGTATTCCAAGATGAAAGAAAGTATCTTTTTAATATTTTTTTTCAAAACAGTCTCACAACAAATTTTAGAAACTTAAAAAATTATAGTGAGGTTAGAC